GCCCCCTGACTGCTGGGACCCACCAGCTACATCTTCACATGCAAGGAAGTGCCTGACAGTCGGAACCCACCTGGTCGAAGCGTACGTAGCGTTGTCATTCTAGTCGCGAACGTGTACGTACATACTGATCGGTCGGTCTGTCTGCAGGCTGCAATGATGAACCGTGGCCATGTAAGGAAGGGCACGTGTCGTAGTAGAGGCGCGCACGTAGCATGTCACATAGTCCCGTTAATATCGTGTACACGTACATACAGCGGTCAGGGTGCAAGAAAGTAAATACGGCCACGTACGTACATACGGGCGGGGTCTCGAACGCCTACTGCGTATACGTACAGCCAGGGCTCGTGTACATGGCTAGGTTGGACCGGAGAAACTGCATCGTCGCTGTGTTCATGGGGAGGCAAAGGAATGCGTCGTGTTTATCAGGAGGCAACGGAATACGTCGTGTTCATCAGGAGGCAACGGAATACGTCGTGTTCATCAGGAGCCAACCGGCTTGGACGGAACAGCCAATTTAAACAGGGCCTGACGTACCGCAGAACAGAGGAAACGGCCTTGTGTTCAACCGACCACGGTTGAAATGGGATCCTATTCATCGGGAGGGGCCTGGCGTACCGCAAAACAGAGGAAACATACTTCTCTTGGACCTCCTACGGTCGAAACGGGGCCCTGTTGATCGGGAGGGGTGTGGCATACCGCAAAACGGAGGAAACGGACTTATGTTGGAGCGCTACGGTCGAAACGGGGGTCCTGTTCATCGGGATGGGTGTGTCATACCGTAAAACGGGACTCCACGGGATACTGTTCATCTCTACCGTCGACCTCCTCCAGCCTCCACGGGCTACTATTCATCCACCATCGACCTCCTCCAGCCTCCACATGTGACTGTTCATCCACGGACTCATGTTCATCTAGCCTCCACCGCTCCTCCACCGGCTACTGTTCAACCAGCCCTCTCCACGGGGTCCTGTTCAACCACCCCTCCACGGGCTACTGTTCATCCAGCCCTTCACCGACTACTATTCAACCAGCCCTCCACGGGGTCGTCCTGTTCATCTAGCCCTCCACAGGGTCCTATTCATCCACCCCCAACCGGCTCGATCGGGGTCATGTTCATCCAGAGGCAACACCACGGGGTCCTGTTCATCCACCCCCACCGGGTACTAGGGCTGGGCATTCAGTTTAACCGAACCGTTCGGTTCGGTTATTCGGCTTTTGAAGAAATTTGGTTTTGAGAAAAGGATGACCGATAGGTCACTGAGAAAACTCCTAACCGAAGATTCGGTGGACCGAGATTTCGGTTCGGTCCTCGGTTGAGACTTAATTGACCGACAGATTAGGGAAAGGCATGAAAGGAAGCGATACTTCAGAAATTGATCTGCAAAGAAACATTGTGTACACACGCAAGGCAAGATCCTGTGAGTACAAAATCAGATCGTAGTAGCAAGAACTTCAGGTGAGCAAATCAGCAATAAGATGCAAACGCAAGACAATCAAAGAGAAAGTGGGAGATAGGAGGGAAGAGGGATGCGTCTGCCACAGTTCACCACCGCCGTTGGTCGTTGCCTACAGGGGTGGAGGGGAGTAGATGCAGCGCATGGCGGCTAGGGTTAGGCGTTGGGTGGGGGGAGGGATCGGGAGTGGAGACAGAAGAGTCGAGGGCTCGAGGCGTAGGTCGGTCCTCTAGTGGGCTAGTGGAGAAGGAAGCTTACGGAAGAGATATTGGGCTGTGGGTTGGCCCAATACGTAGATTGGAGTGCACGTGCATGTCTATTCGGTTTCATCGGTCCATTCGGGTAACTGATGCATGACACCGAATTACCCAAATTAATTTCAGTTTTTAAAACGTGCTGACCGAACCATGCACTAAAACTTTCGGTTTCGGTCTTTTCGGCTTCGGTCCCGGTTTTTTCGGTTCGGTAGTTCGGTCCTCGGTTAATATGCCCACCCCTACCGGGTACTGTTCATCCAAACCTCCCCAACAACGCTCATTGTTCATCAAGCGAAGGAGGCAGCAGGGTTCGATCGGCTACAGTTAGCAGCAGTAGCGAAGGAATCACTCGGGTTCAGTTAACAGTAAGGGATCGATCGCTCGGGTTCAGTAACGTGGCTAGTGCAATCGCTCAGGTTCAGTTAGAGCCCAACGCCTCACTCGGGTTCAGTTAGAGCCCAATGCCTCGCACACACATGCGTACGTGTACGAGAGAAACACGCATCGCTCGGCCCCCGACCACCCACCGTAACCGGGAACTTCCCAAAATTTTCCTCGCCCTCGCTTCTACCATGTTTTTTTTCCGTCATGGACGGTCCAAAGAATGTCATGCAGTTGCGTCTCCGTCCCGCCCAGGACGAAAAACCCATTTTATGTCATGATTTTTTGTCATATAAGTAGGAGCCCACCACATCTATGATGATACCGGGTTTTGTCACAATTATTGCCATAAAAGTGTCATAAGCATGACAGAGAAAAAATTCGTTTGTCCCAAAATGTCACGGATGTGTCTTTTTTTGTAGTGAAGCTTCGTCGGTCCATACTCCTTATCCGACCAAGCATCAGAATCCATCGTTTTCCCTAAAAACCCACAAAAAATCCGGTCGGACAATGTGTCGAACACATCAAGCACAAGGCGGAGCCAGAGAGTTGCCGGACGTACCGCGGTGGCGTCCGGGCCGGAGACGACGTCCCCCGCGGCGAGGACGGGAGAGAGGACTGCTCTGCCGGCGTAGAGGCTATGGAACGGCTGCGGAGCGCGCGGCGACGGAGCTGCGAGATGGAGGACGTGAAGGAGGAAGAAGACAGGAGATAGCAAATGGATCCGGCAAGTCTTTTTGGGTGGATTTGTTGCAATTTACGGTGGAGTTGGGCCGTCGGGTCTGATGTGGTGGGCGTGCCCGGACGCGTCCGGGCGCCCCATATTCGCCCCATGTTTGGGCTGGATATAAGGGGTGCCGGTTAGCCCGGACATTTGAAGACCGTTTGAGGCGTCCATCTGGATCAAAATTTTGCGACCGGATAATGATCGGACGGCCTGTCCGAATGTATGAGACGGGTTTAAGGCGCCCATCCGTAGATGCTCTAATTGAGCTCACTAGTGTATTGGTCATCCCTAGGCAAAGCCTAGTATAGTAAGAGCTTTGGCTCGAACCTTTTTGCTTTCTCTCTCCTACTAATAGAATCAGACAACGCTCTTGTCAAAGTTTGAAAAGAAATATTAGTAACCCTTGGGCAATATGGTGGGTTCAACGCATAACAAATTCACGAAGATTAATTTAAAAGCCCACAATCCACTTATGCTTTCATTCTCAAATTTATTGCCGAACTAGAGGTGATGCACAAAAGCAAGCCTGTGCACCGCAGCGAGACGACACCCATGCACCAACACGTGGACGAAGGGCACTATTTTGTTTACGAAGGCTGCATTGAACCATAAATACTAGAAGAAGGAACAACATGCGGTGAAGGTTAGTAATGGATTTTTTTTAAACGGAGACAAAAGCTTTGTCTCATTTCAAGAGAAGTTTAGACAAGGTTTTAAATTTACAGGATCACACATGTGCAAGAAAAACTAACGGGATCACTCTCGCGAGACTAAATTGCCCAGAAATCTAGCCCCGGTTATCACCCACGTCTTGGCCTTCACCTTGATTATCGCCACCACCCTCGTGTGCAGAGATTCCTTG